AGAATGTATCCAAGAATGGGGTTTGACTTATCTAGTGTAGGGGGGACACTGCAACTGGCGTGTAGGGAGCAGTAGGACTTTAAAATGGGATTTATTATTAGGTATGGGTTTTGGACAGGACAAACAGTGAAGTCCAGTGTTTAATATAATGAGTTCTATGGGGACTAGTAATAACAGAACGAGTAGAATATTGAAAAGCCAGTAATGCACTAGGTTTGAAAAGGAACAGTAAAATAGGTTTAGTAGAAAAACAGAAATGAGCAGGAAGGGTAAAGAGAAAGGAGAGTCTTTCAATGTTTATTATGCTAATAGCCGTAGTGCTAGGAATAAGATGAACGAGTTGAGATTAGTTGCTAGTGTAGGTAACATTGATGTATTTGCCTTAACTGAGACGTGGTTTAATTCAAAAAGCCGGGACATGCCTGCAGAATGTCACATTCAGGGTTTTAAATTGTTCCAAGTAGATTGAAGTATCGGGAAAGGGGGTGGGGTGGCATTGTATGTCCGAGATCGCTTGAACTGTTGCATAAAAACGGGTATTAAATCTGAAGTAACACATACAGAGTCTGGATAGAATTTTCAGAGGGGCATGAAAAATTTATTTTAGGTGTGATATACCGTCCCCCAAACTTAGATAGGGACCAAGGGAGACTACTATGGGAGGAAATTGTTAAGGCCACAAGGCACCATAATGTAGTAATTCTAGGAGACTTTAACTTTAGTCATATTGATTGGAATTTCTTGACTGGGGATTTAGAATCATACGACTTCTTAGAAGTAGTTCAGGATTGTTTTTTGAAGCAGTTTGTGACAGAACCTACAAGGGGAAATAACCTGCTTGACTTAGTTCTAGCAAACAATGAATCCCTTGTTAATAATTTAGAAATTTCAGAGGAACTGGGCGCTAGCGACCACAAATCAATTACATTTAGCATTGAATGGAAGTATGATAGTAGGGATAACTCAGTAACAGTCCCAGATTTTCGCTTAGCAGATTACGATGGACTTAGAGAACACTTATCATCTGTTGACTGGGGTAACGAAGAGAGCTATCAATATGACAGTTTTCTGAACACTATACATGCTGCTCAAAGAACGTTCATCCCGTATAAAGAAATTAGATCAAATAGAAATGACACAAAATGGATAAATAATAGGCTGAAATATCTCCTAGGGCATAAGAAAGGAATTTATAGGGGTATCAAAAGAGGTGAGGGTCATCTTATGAATCAGTATATTGACATTAAGAGGGACATTAAAAAGGGGATAAGAAAAGCTAAAAGGGACTATGAAATTAAAGTTGCTAGGGATTCTAAAACTAACCCAAAAACTTTTTTCCAGGTCTATAGAACAAAAGTTAGAGATAAGATAGGTCCCCTTAAAAATAACTATGGGCATCTTACTGACAAAGAGAATGAAATGTGCTCGATTTTAAATAATTATTTTCTCTCGGTTTTTACACAGGAAGACACTAACAATATTCCAGTAATTAATTTTTATAATGGGCCTGAACAAGATAAATTATGTAACATCACAGTCACTAGTGAAATGGTTGTGAAGCAGATAGACCGACTGAAGCAAAATAAGTCGCCGGGTCCTGATGAGGTTTTTTCAAGGGTTCTTAAGGAATGCAAAATGGAAGTCTGTGAACCATTAACTAATATTTTTAATTCATCTCTTCAAACAGGTGTAGTGTCTGATATGTGGAAGATGGCTAATGTAATTCCTATTTTTAAAACAGGGGACAAGTCGTTACCGTCAAATTACCGCCCAATAAGCCTGACCTCAATTGTAGGCAAATTGCTTGATTAATGATACTCTGCATGGATTCACAAGAGGCCGGTCTTGTCTAACTAATTTATTAACTTTCTTCAGTAAAGCTTTTGAGGCTGTTGACCACGATAAAGAATTTGATATTATTTACTTAGATTTTAGTAAGGCTTTTAATAGAGTTCCGCACCATAGACTGTTAAAGAAAGTGGCAGCTCATGGCATTGGGGGAAAAGTGCTCTCGTGGATCGAGTCATGGCTCACTGACAGGAAGCAGAATGTGTCCATAAATGGGGTTAAATCCGAGTGGGGATCTGTAACAAGTGGCGTACCACAGGGATCAGTCTTACGGCCCGTTGTTGTTTATAATATATATCAATGACCTTGATGAGGGTATTACTAGTGATATGAGCAAATTCGCCGATGACACAAAGATAGGTAGGATAATTGATTCAAACGTAGATGTTAGGAAACTTCAGGAGGATTTAGACAAACTCTATTCTTGGTCAGAAAAGTGACAGATGCAGTTCAATGTAGATAAATGCAAGGTTCTGAAGCTCGGGAGTGTCCATAACCCTAGCACTTATAAGTTAAATAATGTAGAACTTAGCCATACAGATTGCGAAAAGGACTTGGGGGTTATAGTGAGCAGCAACCTTAAACCAAGACAGCAATGCCTAAGCGTACGTAATAAGGCAAATAGATTATTGGGATTTATATCAAGAAGTGTAAGCAACAGAAGTCCAGAGGTCATACTGCAGCTTTATACATCATTAGTAAGGCCTCACCTAGATTATGCAGCTCAGTTCTGGTCTCTATATTACAGAATGGATATAAATTCGTTAGAAAACATTCAGCGTAGAATGACTAAATTAATACATAGCATTAGAAATCTTCCCTATGAAGAAAGATTGAAGAATCTTAAATTACATTCACTTGTTAGACGAAGAATGAGAGGAGACATGATCGAAGTGTATAAGTGGAAGATGGGTATTAATAAAGGGGATATTAATAAGGTCTTGAGGATATCTCTCCAAGAGAGAACCCGCAGTAATGGATTTAAATTAGGCAATTTTAGATTTAGAAAGGACATAGGAAAGTATTGGTTTGGAAATAGGGTAGTTGATGAGTGGACGAATTTGAGAATGTGTGTAAAGGTAGAAAACTGAAAGTGAACATAGAAAAGAGTAAGGTGATGAGGGTATCAAATGATTTAGATAAAGAAAAATTGGATATCAAATTGGGGAGGAGGAGTATGGAAGAAGTGAATGTTTTCAGATACTTGGGAGTTGACGTGTCGGCGGATGGATTTATGAAGGATGAGGTTAATCATAGAATTGATGAAGGAAAAAAAGGCGAGTGGTGCATTGAGGTATATGTGGAGTCAAAAAATGTTATCTATTGAGGCAAAGAAGGGAATGTATGGAAGTATAGTAGTACCAACACTCTTATATGGGTGTAAAGCTTGGGTGGTAAATGCTGCAGCGAGGAGACGGTTGGAGGCAGTGGAGATGTCCTGTCTAAGGGCAATGTGTGGTGTAAATATTATGCAGAGAATTCGGAGTGTGGAAATTAGGAGAAGGTGTGGAGTTAATAAAAGTATTAGTCAGAGGGCTGAAGAGGGGTTGTTGAGGTGGTTTGGTCATTTAGAGAGAATGGATCAAAGTAGAATGACATGGAAAGCGTATAAATCTGTAGGGGAAGGAAGGCGGGGTAGGGGTCGTCCTCGAAAAGGTTGGAGGGATGGGGTAAAGGAGGTGTTGTGGGCGAGGGGTTTGGACTTCCAGCAAGCGTGCGTGAGCGTGTTAGATAGGAGTGAATGGAGATGAATGGTATTTGGGACCTGACGATCTGTTGGAGTGTGAGCTGGGTAATATTTAGTGAAGGGATTCAGGGAAACTGGTTATTTTATATAACCGGACTTGAGTCCTGGAAATGGGAAGTACAATGCCGGCACTCTAAAGGAGGGGTTCAGGATATTGGCAGTTTGGAGGGATATGTTGTGTATTTTTATACGTATATACTTCTAAACTGTTGTATTCTGAGCACCTCTGCGAAAACAGTGATCATGTGTGAGTGTGGTGAAAGTATTGAATGATGATGAAAGTATTTTTTTCTTTTTGGGGATTTTCTTTCTCTTTGGGTCACCCTGCCTCGGTGGGAGACGGCCGACTTGTTGAAAAAAAAAAGTATGAATAGTGTTGAAGTTTGTGCATGATGAAGTTATGTGTCAGTTGTCAAGAAGTTCCTGAGTGATCACAGACAATTATGAAGTACTGGTACAAAACATGTTGACAACCTTTAAGAACTTAGGTACTAATATGAGCATAAATATTCACTTCCTCCACAGTCACTTAGAGAGATCTCCACATAATGTTGGTGAGGTGAGTCAGGAACAAGAAGAGGAGAGGTTCCAGCAAGACATAAAGGTGATGGAGGAAAGTTATCCAGGCAGCTGGAAAACACACATGATGGCGGACTATTGCTGGAGCCTCCAGTGGCACTCTACTCATGACCATCGTACAAAATAATCGTACAGTGTTTTCACATACAGTAATTAATGGTATTTGAATTATCTTAGTATGTTAAACTGTTATTATATGATGTATTACATAATTTGTAAGTTAGCTCCGCCTGATCAATATATTTTTCATATATTTTATATTTTTCAGTTGGATACCATATTTATCAAAAATTAGAACCAATCAAGCAAAACCGATGAAATATTGACCAGAAAATGAGTGATTAAAATAATAATGTGTAATTAAAATCAATGTAATTATAAAAAATAATGGAGAAGGCTAGCGTGTTAAAAAGTGTAATTATATTAATAAGAATGATAATAATAACAATAAGTATATAGTAATTACATTATTAATAATAAAATTAATGAGAAGTATAAACCCGTGAAGATCAAACACCGCCAGTGGGATGCAAGAGGTTTGATCCGAGGAAGTAGTTACTGTTCCTCGCATCAAGAGGCGTTCTTCAGCATTTCAGTATCTTACTCAGCATCTTCCCCAGCATCCCAGCATCTTCAGCGTCTTCAGCATCACAGCATCTTCCCTAACATCTTACCCCGCATCCTAGCATTTTCCCCAGCATCTTACCCAGCATCCTAGCATCTTCCCCAGCATCTTACCCAGCATCCTACCATCTTCCCAGCATTTCCTAAGCAGCATCCCAGCGTCTTCCCCAGCATCTTCCCCAGCAGCGTCCTAGCATCTTACCTGAATGATAAGCTTATTCTGAGGTTTGACAAGGTTGAGCTTCAGTTCAGTCTTCTTGGAGTGATCTTGGCCACTCTCAGCAGCTGCTGCTGAGGTGGCCATGGTTTCCCTGGCCTCGTAATTCATCTCAGAGTCGCCTGCCTCAGAGAGGGCCTCCAGCTTGTCCTCCAGCCTCCTCTCAAAGCAGCTACTGTCCTCCGCGTGCACTAGAAACTCACTCAAGTCACACTCGCTGTCCTCCGCCTCCTCCTCGATCGTGTCGCTGATTACGTGGAAATTCGCGTTGTGTTCGTCAGGGTTCGTGATATTCGTGCTGGTCGCGATGTTCTCAGAGTTTGTGAATTCCTGGCCGATACCCGTAGTGTTATCATCAGGGAGTGTTTGGTCTTCTCTGAGAGACGTGGTAATCACTCCATCAACACACAATGTCCTGCTTCTATCTCCTATCACATCAGTGTCTATTAACGCTGAATTTCTGGCTTCGACAATGTCGCCCACAGGGCTAAACACATCATATCTGGTGTTGATCACTCCACTGTTCACCTCATCATTCTCTCCTAAATACGGATCTGCCACTCTGAGATTCACTTGTGTGTTGACCACTCCTAAGCTGGCGTCAGTAACTGCGAAATCTGTATTGTAAATGTCGAGTGCTGATCTCGTGGTATCTAAATCCTTGTTGTATACTTCGAATCCCAAATCTTCGTTATTCAGGTAGAAGCCGCCTAATTCTGTGTTGATGAAATCTGTGAGTGTGTAGGTGGGAGGGGTAGTGTGTTGGGTTAAGGCGCGTGTGTTGACAGTAGTGGAGGTGGGTGCTACCAGTGTGAGGTGGTTGTGCTCCTGGATGCTATCACAGATGCGCTCTCTGGCGTCCGCTGAAGCTAGATAACTCTCCCTCGGGACACTTCCTGCCGGACTGGTCTTCTTGCTCGCCTCCATTGGTGTCGTCTTCTTGTCGTGCTTGCCTAGCAGTCTGTAGCTCTGCATAAATCTGAAGCTTGATCTTGGCTTCCCTGCCACCACCTGTTTTGGCTCCACTTTGGGTATTATATTTTCTTTCCCTTCACTCGCAATCACTGGTTTTATCTCCAAGTCCTCTGGCAAGGTGCCGTTCTTCTTGACGAACTCTAGCTCCTGTACCAGCTGTTTTCTAGACTTCCTTTGCACGTCTGGGGTCTTTTTGTGGGCATAGAGAATTTTGGGTGACGTGTGGACCTCCCCGTCGTCGTGCATGTGGAAGAGTGAGGGTACTGAAGATGACTTGGTGGTGATGGTGTGTGGGTGAGGAGTGTTGGGAAGGTGATGGTGGTGCTGCCATCCATGGGAGGGCAGGTATGGAGGGACGTCCTCCACGGTACTGCTGGAGTCGTACTGACTCTCACTCACTGAACCCTCCAGTATGCTTGTGATTGAACTCTTGCCACTTGACCCAGTGCTCCTGGAACTGGGGCTCGACGAGGAACTGGAGAAGGCGTGGCGGAAGCTAGCAGTGGAACCCCTCAAGAAGCTACAACCGATTTTAGGGGTGCTGATGTGCTTGTGCTGCTGCTGCTGTTGCTGCTGTTTGATGTCCTCAGTGCTGAGGCTTTTAGAAGTCAGCTGGCTGCTGCTGCCTCGATCATCGAAGGCAGCGAAACGGAGGAGAGGGAAGGAAGACCAGGAGGCACGCTTGAGTTGCACCTCCGCCGCCTCCTTCTTGGTCTTCTCCAGGTGGAGGGAGTAGCGGTTGTTGCAGCGGCGGAAGTTGAAGATAGACTCACCCTTACGTTCCTTCATACTGCCGCCAGCCTCGCCCACACACCTGTTGAAGCACACACACAAGCATCGCTTTAACATCACCCTCTCTGCCGCCCGCTCTATTTACAGCAGTGTCTTAAATACAAAGACGCGCTACCACACACACACACGCACGCACCAACACCCACACACACACACACACACACACACACACAACACACACACACACACACACACACACACACACACACACACACACACAACACACACACACACACACACACACACACACACACACAACACACACACACACACACACACACACACACCCACACACACACACACACACACACACACACACACACACGTACAATTCAGTCTGGGGAAAATAAAATAGTGATTGCAGTGTTGTATAACCCACCACAGAACTACAGGAGGCCAAGAGAGTAATATGAAGAGAACAACAGAGTGATGGTGGACACACTGGCTGAGGTGGCACGAAGACCTCAATCGTGCAGAGCAAAGTTATTGGTTATGGGTGATTTCAACCACAGGGAGATCGACTGGGAAAACCTGGAGCCTTACAGGGGTCCCGAGAATCGGAGAGCCAAGCTGTTGGACGTGGTACTGGAGAACCTCATGCATCAACACGTCAGGGACACTACCAGAAAGAGAGGGGAGGATGAACCAGCAAGACTGGACCTTGTGTTCACCCTGAGCAGTTCAGACATTGAGGACATCACATTTGAGAGGCCCCTTGGAGCTAGCGATCACGTGGTTCTGAGTTTTGATTACATAGTAGAGCTACAAATGGAGAGGGTAACATGAGTCGATTGGAAAAAGCCGAACTATAAAAGGGGGGACTACACAGGTATGAGGAACTTCCTGCAGGAGGTTCAGTGGGACAGAGAACTGGTAGGAAAGTCAGTAAACGAAATGATGCATTATGTAACAAACAAAATGCAAGGAGGCAGAGGAAAGGTTTGTTCCCAAGGGCAACATAAATAATGGGAAGACCAAAGCGAGTCCTTGGTTTACCCGAAGGTGCAGCGAGGCAAAAACTAAGAGCATTAGAGAATGGAAGAGGTACAGAAGGCAAAGGACCAAGGAAAATAAGGAGATCAGTCGAAAAACCAGAAACGAGTATGCATAGATAAGGAGGGAGGTCCGCCGACAGTATGAAAACGACATAGCATCGAAAGTCAAGTCTGACCCGAAACTGCTGTATAGCCACATTAGGAGAAAGACAACAGTCAAAGACCAGGTGATCAGGCTGAGGAAAGAAGGTGGAGAACTCACAAGAAGCGATCAAGAGGTATGTGAGGAGCTCAAGAAGAGATTTAAGGAAGTATTCACAGTGGAGACAGGAAGGACTCTGGGAAGACAGGACAGAAGGGGGACACCAACAGGGAATACACCAACAAGTGGTGGATGACATACACACAACTGAGGAGGGTGTGAAGAAGCTGCTAAGTGACCTTGATACCTCAGAGGCAATGGGACTGGACATCTCCCCATGGGTCCTTAGAGAGGGAGCAGAAATGCTGTGTGTGCCATTAACTACAATCAACACATCCCTTGAAACTGGGCAACTTACTGAGGTATGGAAGACGGCAAATGTAGTTCCCATTTTTAAAAAAGGAGTCAGAAAAGAGGCACTAAACTACAGACCAGTGTCACTGACATGTATAGTATGCAAAGACATGGAGAAGATTATCAGGAGGAGAGTGGTGGAGCACCTGGAATGGAACAAAAGTATAAATGACAACCAGCACGGTTTCATGGAAGGCAAAGCCTGTGTCACAAACTTCTGGAGTTTTATGATAAAGTAACAGAAGTAAGACACGAGATAGAGGGGGGGCGGGTTGACTGCATCTTCTTGGACTGCAAGAAGGCCTTCAACACAGTTCCTCACAAGAGATTAGTGCAGAAACTAGAGGATCAGGCATGCATAGGGAAGGGCACTTCAGTGGATCAGAGAATAACTGACAGGGAGGCAACAGCGAGTCATGGTACGTGATGAGGTATCACAGTGGGCACCTGTGACGAGCGGGGTCCCACAGGGGTCAGTCCTAGGACCAGTGCTATTTTTGATATACGTGAATGACATAATGGAAGGGATAGACTCAGCGGTGCCCATGATCGCAGATGATGTGAAATTAATGAGAAGAATTAAATCAGATGAGGATCAGGCAGGACTTCAAAGAGACCTGGACAGGCTGGACACGTGGTCCAGCAACTGGTTTCTCGAATTCAACCCTGCCAAATGCAAAGTCATGAAGATCACGGAAGGGCAAAGACGACCGCAGAGTATAGGAAAAGTGGCCAACGACTGCAAACCTCGCTCAAGGAGAAATCTTGGCGTGAGTTTAACACCGAGCATGTCTCCGGAAGCACACATCAACCAGATAACTGCTGCAGCATATGGGCGCCTGTGACGAGCGGGGTCCCACAGGGGTCGGTCCTAGGACCAGTGCTATTTTTGGTATATGTGAACGACATGACGGAAGGGTTAGACTCAGAAGTGTCCCTGTTTGCAGATGATGTGAAGTTAATGAGGAGAATTAAATCTGATGAGGACCAGGCAGGACTTCAAAGAGACCTGGACAGACTGGACACCTGGTCCAGCAAATGGCTTCTCGAATTTAATCCTGCCAAATGCAAAGTCATGAAGATAGGGGAAGGGCACAGAAGACCACAGACAGTATAGGCTAGGTGGCCAAAGACTGCAAACCTCACTCAAGGAGAAAGATCTTGGGGTGAGTATAACACCGAGCATGTCTCCGGAAGCACACATCAATCAGATAACTGCTGCAGCATATGGGCGCCTGGCAAACCTGAGAACAGCATTCCGATACCTTAGTAAGGAATCATTCAAGACACTGTACACCGTGTATGTCAGGCCCATACTGGAGTATGCAGCACCTGTTTGGAACCCGCACTTGATAAAGCACGTCAAGAAACTAGAGAAAGTACAAAGGTTTGCGACAAGGTTATTTTCCAGAGCTAAGGGAATGTCCTATGAAGAAAGATTAAGGGAAATCGGCCTGACGACACTGGAGGACTGGAGGGTCAGGGGAGACATGATAACGACATATAAAATACTGCGTGGAATAGACAAGGTGGACAAAAACAGGATGTTCCAGGGAGGGGACACAGAAACAAGAGGCCACAATTGGAAGTTGAAGACACAAATGAGTCAGAGAGATAGTAGGAAGTATTTCTTCAGTCATAGAGTTGTAAGGCAGTGGAATAGCCTAGAAAATGACGTAGTGGAGGCAGGAACCATACACAGTTTTAAGACGAGGTTTGATAAAGCTCATGGAGCGGGGAGAGAGAGGGCCTAGTAGCAACCGGTGAAGAGGCGGGGCCAGGAGCTAGGACTCGACCCATGCAACCACAAATAGGTGAGTACAAATAGGTGAGTACACACACACACACACACACACACACACACACACATACACACACACACACACACACACACACACACACACACACACACACACACACACACACACACACACACACACAACACACACACACACACACATACACACACACACCACACACACACACACACACACACACATACACACACACACACACACACACACACACACACACACACACACACACACACACACACGCACGCACGCGCGCGCGCGGAAGCAACAGCTCGTTTTCGCTCGTGAATCTTTAGTAGTTAGTGGCCAATCAAACTTCAAAGCCGCTGCCAGAGTCATCAGAAGTTGACAGTGTCAGTGAACAACCCGAGAAGTGATTCACGATCTGTCTCAGTCAGAAAAGGCAGGTGAAGGACACAGACACATGAAAACAATTTGAATCAGTGCCAAGAGAGAGTGGAATGGTCATAGTTAGTTTAGTTTAATATGTTTATTATGCACCCCATACCCATCCTGTGGGCGGTAGTCAAAAGATTACAGAGGTACATAATTGGTCCATAGGCCTAGTGTTGGTGTAGGTGGTATTGCCACAGCCCAATACCAAAATTCAAACAGAATAAGTGTGACCCAAGCCAGGGAGATAGGAGATATGGGTGGTTGAGTTAGTGACTCCAGTGTATAGTGCATACAGTGATAGAGGAGTCAGTGAATACAGTGTATAGTGCATACAGTGATAGAGGAGTCAGTGAATACAGTGTATAGTGCATACAGTGATAGAGGAGTCAGTGAATACAGTGTATAGTGCATACAGTGATAGAGGAGTCAGTGAATACAGTGTTAGTGCATACGTGATAGAGGATCGTGAATACTGTATAGCCGTGGAAGCGATCAGTGAAACAGTGTATAGTGATACAGTGGATGAGAGTCAGTGATACAGTGTATAGTTGCAACAGTGATGGGATCAGTGTACATACGGGTGTATAAGTGCATCAGTGTAGGGGATCATGAATACAGTGTTAGTGCATACAGTGAATAGAGGAGTTAGTGACTCCAGGTAAGTGCATACAGGATAGGGAGCCCAAGGATACAGAGTATAGTGCATGACAGTGATAGAGGAGTCAGTGAACATGTATAGTGCATACAGTATAGGGACAAGTCAGTGAATAAGTGTATAGTGCAGCAGTGATAGTGGAGTCAGTGAATACATGTAAGTGCACAGTGCAGTGAGTAGGAATCGTTGCCAGGACGTACAGTGACGGCAGGCAGTAAGGTGGAATCCAGTGCAACTGCCAGTGCAAGGGCAGTGCAGTAAAGTGCATACAGTGATCAAGGCAGTATCAGTGAAGTGCATACAGTGATCAGAGGCATGTAAGCAGTGCAGCAGTAAGAGGGACCAGAGGCAATATGTACAGGCGAGTGAGAGTAAGGTAGGAGCCGAGGACGTAATTTGCCTGTGGTGCAGGCATATTGGCCCGAATGCGATCTGAGTCAAGCCGTGCAGGCAATAATACTTGGGCCAATCACTGTAGTAGCACTGGGAAGGGAGTAAGGTTGGGACCACAGGCACTGAAAGTGCACGTGCAGGCAGTAAGGTTGGACCAGAGGCACTGTAGTGCACGTGCAGGCAGTAAGGTTGGACCAGAGGCACTGTAGTGCACGTGCAGGCAGTAAGGTTGGACCAGAGGCACT